CTTGTAATGGTTTTAAACATTGTCCCTTGGGAAACGTAACGTACCCATGGAATCCACAGCCTCGGGTGTGGTGCGTTAGGAACGAAATGGTCGCGTCGCGGTGAGAGGGGCGTCGCGCGCGAAGGAATGTAGCAGGATGCAGCGGTAGGTAAGAAATACAAGAACAAAAGTGCTAATAGTAGAATTATGCATAAAATAATGATCGCATATCGATTGAGCTGTATGAAGAACGCTAGAGCTGTAATAACGGCGAATGAGTGGTNTACCCAAAGTCGTTCCTAACGCCCGTCTCCCCACAGCCTCGTTTAGTTTACTAGGCTCGCCCACTTACAAAGTGGGTCCTATACAGAATTTTAGCCGAAACCTGAACATCTGGGTGTACTATTCAGACCGACCTCTTGCCAGCTCTTAGAATAATTTCGTCATCGACTTCACTGACAATGAGACCGAGAATGCCATTCCCCTCATAAATTTTTTCCAGTTGGTCAAAAATCCCACAAGTAAATATGAAAGTACGTTTCCGCTTTCTTTCAAATATTGGCATGGGTCGTAAGTTTGTTGAGGATTAATGGTCGGAAGGTGGTTAATTCTACAAACAGTCTGGTTGGCTCAATTTCAACGAAATCCACACAAAACTCATTTGATTGTTGCTATTTGGTAATGGCGCTGGGTTCGTGATTGAATGGCCTCTACTGGCAGCTAAAAAATTCGTTATCACCAAAATGTGATAAGCTTTTGACATTTCACGACACTCGAGAACGGCTGTCCTTTTTGTGTATCCATTCAATGGAGACTTTGATACGTAATTCTATTGTTTCTTCGGCATTTTTTGTTCATTATTCATTTTTATCAGCCACTTTTTTTGCAGTATTGGGATAGGTAATTTTTAGTCGTGACTAGTACCTCTGTTATAAAGCATACTGCTTTCATTTATCTTCATCCGTCCAGAGACGGACGAATCCGTCTCAAACCGTCTCCTCGTCTCCTTGAATATGCCCCGGTTACGTTGGGAGTCCAAGGGATAGCTTTGCTTGTGGAGAATCCAATTTCTTACAAAAAGTGCTTTTCTTCCCAATTACTTGGCAGACTCTCAACGAACATCGAAAGTTACGTTTCAAGTACGTGAGCTTGTACCTCGGGCATGTCGGCATGGCGAAATCTCCGTATTAACTAGAAATTCCAATTATGGAATGGAAAAAGCAACAATCACCTGTTTGCTCATTGGACTCACTAGTTTTGTATCATTTTCTTGCCTTTTTAGGTCGAATTGGTTGAAATCGATTAAGTCAGAAAAACGGAGTCCCTTGGGGCCGTCATTTCGGTAGTCAATGCCCCTTTGCAGCCGTGACTTCAAGAGAAACAGGGCTCATTCTAGACTATTGTTGAACTTCCATTGAAAACTCGTCAAATCCTCTGGGTAGCTGAATAGAGTTCAAACAATAGCCTTAAAATGAACCTGAATTCAATTCATTTATAAATTTATCGATTTCCAATAATGATTGATAAGGGGATGACTGGGAGAAATAAAGCCTCGTCAAGTAGCCTCTCGAGAAGTTCCTGCTGTTGTACCACAAAATCCGTTCAATCACTTCGATCTGTTCTCCATGCTTGGCTTTTTTTCTTTATTTAAAGGCTGGAGAGCCGAAAAAAGGCGAATCCAGCCTGACAAAGTATTCTTCATTAGATTACTATTTAGTAATAGAGCCAGGTGAGTTTCCCCCGGAGACTACAATACCGTCTTTGGGGTCTTTGGGACCAATGAGAACATTCAGGCTAAAGATGTATCAAACGTTGGTGAGCAATGCCATGGTAAGCTGAGCCTGGCCCTCAACTTTTTAGATGGCCTGCTGCTTGTATATATGCCTATTGAACAATGCTAAAGTAAACAAAACCTTGCTATTAACTTCCTAGACACCCTGCTGCACGTATATATGCATCACATGTGAATGCTCCCAGTCGCTTATCTTGGTAGCCGATCCCCTAGTGAACCGCATTTCGAAATACCTCTTTTTGTAATTATGATTAACATGTGATGTCTCTGACTCATAGACTGATAACATTCGGTATCCTTGAAGACAGTTTTTGATGAACTTGTTTTCTGAAATATCTCATCGAATGAACTCGTGACTCTCGAGGATAGCACAAAGGACGCTGTCGGCTCGAAAAACGCCTTAAATAGTGAGCAATAAGGGCCCTGAAAGAGTCTCTGCTGGCTAACACACCCAAGGCGGACGAGTTCGCACGGCGTTGCAGAGGCTGTGGATATTGCACCATTCGCCCCAGGACGCACGCTTTGCACACAAGTAGATAACTGTAGCCAGTTGTACGCAGTGGTGCACACATTTGGACATCTGATCCAAATACCGTTTCCGTGCAACTTTTGTCATCACATTTCTCCTACTTTTACTTTTATTTAAAGCTCTACGTTCCTACGTTTCTCTAAATACGCCGGTTCGCGGTTTTCTTCCTCGCTTTATCAGTGTTCTGCACTATTACTTTCACGATTTTTCCTAAACTGTTACCCTGAAACTACCTTAAAGTGAGCCTTTTAGGGTCCACTCTAATTTTGGGGTAACCAGTCGTAGACGAATAATGGAAGTGATGGTACAGAATAATGCAAAAAAAGGCAAATCGAAAACAATCAGTGATGTCAGTGGATAAGAAATGGTGAAGAAGTAGTGTAGATATCCAACATTTATTGCACTGATAAGAAAGCATTTTAGGCTTACAAGTGGCTTAGAGCGGTCTACCCTTTTTCTCGAGGTTTTAACTCTCAGATTGTTGTCATTTACTAGTCAATTACTAGTTCACGACGATGAACTGCCCGCATTTTCAGTGTTTCTTTTTTTTTGGGTAACTTTCATATCTTTTTGTGCCTGAGCTCCAGTTCGGGCATTTTTCTGTTTTTTTTTTTCAGTTCATTGCTAAATTATATGTTTGGAAAACTTTTTTCTTATCTTACTTTACGTTTCGATTTTACATTCCACACATTTCTTCAATGTTCTTTTATTTCCTATTATGTCTTTTATTTCCTACAAAGACGCTAGGATTCAACTGGTGATTGAATCTTGTTTTCTACGCCCTGTGGGCGGGGTCTGGTCCTTTCACCTACCATTTGTTTTCCCATCCTGCCGCCTGTGCTCCTACCAAATTTGAACGTCTTAGGTCCACGGGGACAGGAGTTATG